AACCTATCTTAAAAAAGGAAGAAAGAAAGCAATAAAGGGTTGAGACATGGGAGACCAAGTGTGCTCTATGATAGGTCTAGCTTATAGCCTTGAGAGAGATTTGACAACAGGGAGAGGAACTGAGGAGAAGTGAAGCAGTCTCCCTGAGTTGAGTAGACAAAGCTCAGAATTTCAGGAAACCAGGGCAGCTATGACTCACAGGACAGAGAAAGGAGAACCAAAAAGACTGAAGCCCCCTTGGATTGCTCAGCAGAGCACCAATCAGAACTTGTGTGGAAGAAGACTACTCTGGGCTAGAGAAAGGCCAGAAACAGAGCCTGTTCCCACCAGTCTAACCGAGCATTTGATAGGAGTGTTCAGGAACATCTTGCTTCCATTATAGGAAGTAATCTGCCTTACAGGAGCAATGCTCCAAATCTACCTAACAAATCATAAAAGCAGAACTTAAAAAAAAAGTCAAACTGTTTCCACATAACTGGATCCCAAAAAAAAAAAAAAAAAAAGCTCAAAAGATTAACAAAAATATCTAGAATCCAACTTAGTAAAATTCAAACATTTGCTATCTAATCAAGGATTATAAGGCATGCCAAGAGGCTGAGAAGCACATAAAGAAGAAAACAATTCATCAAAACCAGTCCAGAACTGAAGGAGATATCAGAATTAGGAGACAAGGCCATTAAAATAGTTATTATAACCATAATTTATATCTACTTTTAAAAAGCCCCAAGTCAGAATTCTGGAAATACATAGCATACTGTCTGAGATGAAAAAGTATTGAGATGAGATTAGTGGCAGTTTAATGAGAAACGACTAATGAAATTGAAGACACTGCAATAGAAATCATCCAAATTTAAACCAAAACCCAAGGAAGAAAAAGAACCCCAAAATAAAAGAGAAGCAGTGATCTATGAAACAATTTCAAGCAACCTAATGTTACTTGGGTCCACTAGAAAAAAGAGTAATGGGCTGGGGTTGTGGCTCAGTGGTAGAGCGCTTGCCTCGCACTTGTGAGGTCTTGGGTTTGATCCTCAGCACCACATAAAAATAAATAAATAAAAATAAAGATATTTGAGAGAGAGAGAGAGAGAGAGAGAGAGAGAGAGAGAGAAAAGGACATTTGAAAAACAATTGGTTAAAATTTTTTCAAAATTAATGAAAACTATAAAATTAAGAAATTCAATAAGTTCCAGCCACAAGACATATGAGAAATACTATGGTAGCACATAATCAACTTTCTAGAAACCAGATATAAAGAGAAAATTTTTAAAGCAGCAAGAATAATAAAGTAATGTTACATTCAGAGGAATAAACTTAATAAAAAGTCATATTTCTTGTTAGAAATAATGCAAGCCATGAAGTACTGACCAACAAAAACAGTCAACCCAGATCATGGTACAAGAAAAAAAAAATCTGTAAAAAAAAAAAAAAAAAGCAAATAAAAATGTTCTCAAACACACAAAGCTAAAAAAGAGAAGGTCCTCCCTCTACAAGAAAAGCAAGTCATTTAGGCAGAAGGAAGATTACAGCAGATAGAAATGTGGAATTACACAAAAGAATAAATAACATCAAGACAGTAACCAAATGTGTAAATATGCATATATGCATTTCTTTTTCTTCTTTTTTTTGAACTTTAATTGACTATTACACACAATTCTTAAGAATGATTTGTGAGATTTATAACATATGTAAAAGTAAAACACAGTTAACCATATCATAAAGACCAAGAGTTAAGAAATGCAAATACAATATTAAAAGTATCAAGTAGTATAATATCACAGAAAGGTATGTTGTGGTAAGTTAAAGATGTAGACTATGAATTCTAAAATAACCAGCAATATTATAAAATAATTAGCTTATAAACTAACAAAGAAGATTAAATGAAATAGTAAAATACACTTCATCCATCCAAAAGACAGCAGAAGGAAAAGAAAGAATAAAGAATAAATGGGACAAAGATAAAAATAAATAGCAGAATGATATCCAAATCTAACCATATCAATGATTATATTAAATGCAAATGTTTAAACATTTAGAAAGCAGGTCAGATAGGATTTAAAAAAAAAAAAAAAGCAAAACTAAACTACACACTGCTTCCAGGAAACATACTTTAAATAAAAAGACCCAGTAGGTAAAAAGTAAAAGGATGGGAGAGAATAAGCCAGAATAATAGAAGCCAAAAATGCTAAAATGGCTACAATATTATGGACAAAGCAGATTTGAGAGCAAAGAATAACAGCAAACAGAAAGATCATTTTAAATGACAAAAGAGTCAAAAACTCAGAAAGATATAACAGCCCCAGAGGTTTTATGCACCTAATAAGGAAGATTAAAAAAACAAAAAACTGATAGAAATGCAAGGAGGGATAAACAAATTCATAGATGCAGAGGTCAGTGTCATTATCTACTGATAAAAAAACCTTTAGGCAGAAAAGCCAGCAAATACACACACACACACACACACACACACACACACACACACACACTAAGCTTAAACACTGTCAAGCAATTTGGCCAGATTGACTTTTTGCAATACTCCACTCAATGACAGTAGAATACACGCTTCTCCTAAAGTGCATGCAATATATGTACCAATATATTATGGGACATAAAACAAGTATCAACAAATTCAAAAGGATTCCAATTGCAAAATATGGTGACCTGAGTTAATAACAATCATATTCATACTTGAAAACTGCTCAGAGAATAAAGATGAAGTGTTTTCACTAGGGAAAAAAAATGATACACATAAGAGGAACTGGACATGTTAATGAGCTTAGCAATTCCAAAATGTACATTTGTTTCAAAACATCATATTACATACTCGAAATATACTTTCTATTTTTTAAATAAACTGAAAAAAATAGCAAAGGATTAAAACAATGCAAAATATAATTTGACTATTATAAATTAGAAACCAGACAGATCATTACAAAATCCCCAAATGTTTAAAAATTTTAAAAACTCATTACTCAATTACTTATGGATAAATGAAACACACAAAAAGAAAAAGCACAACATATAAAAATGTGTGGGATACCACTAAAGGAATGAATTCTTGGGGAGAAAATTATAGCATTAAATGACCACCTGAGCTACTACTTTAAGAAACTAAAAAAGATAAGCAAATTAAAAACAGAAAATAATGAATTAACATATATCAAAGCAAAAAATCAATGAAGTAGAAAACAAAATTAACAGATTCAAATCAATGAAACCAGAATTATTTCTTTGAGAAGAACCATAAAATTATTAATCTACTAGACAGACTGATTTGGAAAACAGAAAAAAAAAATTATGAAAATTAAAAATGAAAAAGTAGAGAAAATTTCAAGTCCTACAATTTTTTATTGATACATTTGACACAATCTATCAAAGTTTGCTCAAGGGGAATTTTGAAAAACATGAATACATATTTATATTTTACATCTATTTATATTTTAAATTTAAGTATTTTTAATCTGTAGTTAAAAAACTTTCCCATAAAGCAAAATCCAGACCTGTAAGCTTTCACTAATCCTTCCAGAAAACACAAGAAAAGGAATCCCCTCCTAACTCATTTGGTAGGCCAGCATTACCTGTTATCAAAATTGCACAGCCATTATCAGAAATGAAAATCACACATCAAAATCCTTCACACACACACACACACACACACACACACACACACACATATACACACACACACACACACACACGAAAAAAAAAAAACCTCAACAAAAACTTAGCAAATTGTATTTAATGACCTACGAAATAAATAATTCATCATGATGAACTATGGTCTATATTACAAAGTTGTTTTAAAATAAAAAAGTACAAAAAAGTCAATATATTTTGTCTTATAAAGAAAATAAAGGAGAAAAATCATATAATCATTTCAACAGATGCAGAAAAAGCATCTGACTAGATCTAATGTCCATTCATAATAATAGTAAAAATATCTCAATGAACCAGGCACATATAGGAACTTCCTAAACCTGATAAAGGGCATCTTAGAAAATCCTAAAGCTAACACCATTCTTAATAGAAACAAAATGAGTAAATTGTGATCTATTCATTCTTCAGGATAATCTCAGTAATAAAAATGAACCATCAAATGCAACACTGACAAATCTCACAAAAAACGCTGGGCACAAAAGAATACATACTCTATGTCTGAATTAACATAAAGCTCAAAAGTCAGGCAAAACTGAATTATAAAGTTTAAGAACTTAAACTTAGGTGATGTTAACTATAAAAGAAAGCAAAGAAGTAACTGAACAAAAAGAATAAAAAATTTTTCAGATTTTTGGAGGATTTCAGATTTCAGACTTTTGATTAGGGATGATCGACCTATAAGGTGTCCTTAGGAAGTGAAGGTATGATGACAGGGTGGGAGGGTGTAAGATGCTTCTGAACTCTCGGTATGTTGTATTCTTTGTGCAAGAAGGTAGTTACAAGAATGCTCAGTTGGTAAAAATCACTGAGCTGTATATTTTTGTTTTGTGCACTTTTTTGTATGTATACTAATGAAAGACAAAGTTAAAATGAAAATGATGGTATATAGTGATTTAAATAAAGAGATAAAAAGAATAGTTTAACAAGGATATCCACTTGTGAGTCACAATGTATAAACTACTGGCAAGTGGCAAATTAGTTATAGTATTGAACCATGAATTTAAATATTCTTAAATGTAGTTTAAAAATAGGTATAGCTTTTAAAATCGAGATACATACAATTAAACACTAGTGTTGTCAAGTTAAGGTGCCCCTAATGCATAAAAATTAGGGCAAAGACAGGATAATAAAATTATGTGAAATATGCTCATTTATCAATTTCCAAATAAATTTGATTTATTTTTAACTGACATCTTAATTATCCATATTTACATCTGGAATATAACAACTTTTCTCTCTTTTAACAACCTGAGACAAACAAAATGTTATGATTATACATTAGCTATGTCTCCTCAGTTTCTACAGCTGAAATGTCATGTCAATTACTTAATAAGATTTAATTTTACCTTGTTTAATCTGTCCTTGCACAATATTACTGGAAGTTGGAGGAGAATCCCTTGCCTTAGAAAGGTCTGGGGTGCTTGGTCTAGGTGGCCTTTAAATAGAAGAAAAAAATACATGTATATATTCTTTCATATTTTCATATTTCTATAACTACTTAAAATATTGTTTTCTAGATTCAAATTAATTGCAAAGAAACATAAAAAACATTCTCAATTTACTGTTCCAAAAAGATGGCTTTTTAAGAATTTTATATGCACTAACATTTTCCATTTCAAATTTTAATATGATAAAACAATTACATGATTAAGCAAGTAGCAAGTAAAAATTTTATACCTACAATTTATACTATTAGTTCAAGAAATATTTATGAACATTCCAATATTTACCACTGACGGGTAAATATTCTTAATTCTCCATTCTTCAATATTAGCATGCTAAGATTTCAGCCAACCCATTATCACTGGTGCAAATGAATTCATGGAACAATATATTAGATTTTAAAAGTACTCAGTCCTAACATATAAAAAAAGGCATTAAGGCATTACAAAATCTTGGACCCAGAAGCAGAAGATCTTAGTTTGGATTCTGGCTCTATCACTGATTGCAGATGTGACCTTGTACAAGTCACTTCACTTATCTGAGTTTTCTTAACTATAATGAAAGGATGATAAAACCATTTACCTTATAGAGTTAAGAGCACCAATGAGTTAGTTTTTGTAAAATACTTACAACAAAACCTAACACAGAGTAAGTGCTATATAATTATTTGTTTAAAAAAATTCTTGATATGGTGGTCAACTCTCAATAAAATATAATAAAAAGTTGTCTTCATAACCTGGGGAAAATAGAAACCAGCATGCAAGCTAGATGTTCTAAAAACATTAATACAGTACTCTGGTTTTCAAAAATTGTTTTCTCTTTCCCTGCTGAAAAATTCAGATTATACTTACAAAATTCTGAAGCCAGTCACTGAAAACATATCATTCATTGCATCTGTGTTTGAGAAGCATTTTAAACTAGTACACAATTTTAAAATCATATTTATTCAAGAGCTAGTCTATATGATCAATCCTCACATTCTAAACCCCCTTTTAATAGCCAGTAAGTTTTTTATGTATATATAAAATTACATATATTATTTATATATATATCTTAAACTAAGCATTTTAGAGACTTGTGTTTTAAAATTTAAAGGGGAAACACTGAAATGGTCTAAGTATTTAGAAACAAAAAAAAGTAACAATAACAAAAATAGGTTTCTTTTTTAAAAACTTAAAAATAAAATCAAACTATCATGGTCACACCTGGTAGGACCCTTCTTCATATGGTCACCAATAAAAGTTGCATTGGTCATACTCATTAAAGTATTTGCCAAAGATATGATAGACAGGAGATGTTGGGTGGTGACTGCTCGGGATACTCCGTAAGTCCCCTTTCCTACTCCCTCCATTGCTGGCAACTTCCTTCCTGCTTCTGCTTTCCCATGTGGTAGTTTACAAGCAGCCTGATTATACCCAGGCAGCATCAGTGACATATGACCTCCTCTCGATAAAAGGCCAAATGATACTGTACAGTGTGGCTTCAGCATTCCAAGGCGATCAAGACAAACTTCATCCAGAACTTCATTCAAACCCCAGGCATGAAGGCAGGACATGAACAATTTTGCAGTGTCCATAGTTAAGTTATATTCTAATAGGGTCAAGGGCTTAGATTTGCTGGCCCGATACTCAGGATCACTTTCTTCCCTTCTCTGCCTCATTATCTCTTCATCTTCCTCTTCATCATCAAGGAGATGTTCCTTTATGTTCTCTTTGATAGTTTCTTTCACTTGTTGGAAGAGAACTGCTGCTCGTTTTCCAGTTAGAAAAGAGCCCCCTTTGTCTGAACTGCCAGATGCTTTTTGCAAATTCTCTGGGGAAATAAGCGCAGTATTCGGCCTAGAGGCTTCTTCAGTCAGGAGTTGAATAATCAACGCTTCCACATCAAAGAAAAGCACATGTATGTCCGGGTCTGTGAGGTTTGTCTTTATTGCTTGAACCATCAGGGAGTTATGAGAATATTTAGGTAAATTCCCCTGCAACAGATATTTTTAAAAAAATGGTTATAATTAAAAGTGTTTAATTTTACTATTCATTAATGAACAATAAATAGCAGAATTAAAATGCTTCTTAAGCTGTCTTTTCAGGGGTTTATCTCATTAAAAATAACACCAACTTTGCAAATCAGCAGCAGCATGTTAAAGAACCATTTTATACAATTAGAACTGTATGCTGAAACAATCATAAAATGTCATTAATTAAAAATCAGGGGCTGGGGTTGTAGCTCAGTGGTAGAGTGCTTGCCTACCATGTGTGAGGCACTGGGTTCAATTCTCAGCACCACATATGAATAAAACAAAGGTCCATCAACAACTAAATTAAAAAAATTAAAAAAAAAAGATTTTTAAAAAATCAAAGAAAAAGTGTCTTATTGAAGCAAGGAGTCTCTTTGCTCATAGAAGAGATTAAAATTTGTTTCAATAACTTATAGGCAAATTCTGTCTCTATGAATGAACTACTGTTCTACCGAAAGAGTTCGAGTATTCTGACTTCCAATCCTTTGACATTACTGTACCACCAAATCCTTTCTTCAGCTAATTTGCCTACAGTCCCTCCCTGTTCACAGATTCCCTTCCCTCAGTATAGAGAACATATTCAAGTCTTTTTTGTTGTTGTTCCAGATCCTGAAATGTTAGTCTGACCATTCCCCTTCTATTCCCCTCCCCTTCTACTGTCCCTTTTAGTCAAATTTAGTGAAAGTAGTACAGTAAATCCAGTGGGAACTCTTCAGTCTTTGTCCTTCCTAATCTTTGCAGTTATTGCTATTGTTGTTATTCCTGAGAGACTGAGAATATAAATAAAGAGAAAGAATAAAAAACCACCTTATAGCATCCCTGAATCCCCACCTACTGCCCCCAGAGAGCCAAGCTATCTAATTCTGACCCTTCCTCCTCCTCGGCAGCCACCTGCTGGCTCATTATTCCTTTGGCACTAGAACTATATCACCTGTAAGTAGCTGCTCCCAAATTCCAGCCAGACCGGCCTCTGAAAGTAATTCCAGTCCTGTATTTCCACATGCTAGTAGTTGGATGGCCCACGGAGCCAGCCTCCTATTTAACACGTGTCACCTATACCCTCCCACTAAGCCTGCAGTGTCTTCTTAGTCCTCAAGAACCACTACTCCTTCTTACTGCACCTTCACCGCAGAAATTCAGACCCTGGGTCTGCCGCTCAAGTCAGGCTGTACAGGCATTCATCTTGCCTTACCCCAAGTCCACCCCCACAGAGCCACAGACTTCCTTCTGAGGCACAAATCTAATCATGTCACTCTTCTGCCAAAAAACATTCCATTATCATATATTATTAAGAGAAATAGATAATAACAAATTTTGAAAACTAAATCAAAATATAGATGAATGTCTGATCTTGAGATGAGAAATGATAAGCATGCTTAAAATTCTCTACTGTAAAAACAATTGTTAAAAGGCAAGTAAGAAATAGAAATAAAATATGCCAGAATTAATACTAATGAAGTTATATAATCTATACAAAATTTTTTAAGTAAATAAGAATACTAATGCCCAAATAAAAGGAAAAAGGGAAAAAACATAAGGTCAAAGACAATTCACAGTAAAAGAAACATAGTCAATAAAAACACGGAAAACCTGCTCAAACTAGTTATCAAGGAAATTGCAGTTAAAATAACCACATCACTTATAAAATTTGTTAACAAGAAACACTAAAACCTGTATAGTGAAAATCAAATCAACACACAGCAGATGTGCAAGCTTTTGGAACAGTAATTTGACAAAATACTTTGTGAACCCTAAAGATTAAAACATTGTTTGATACAATATGTTTATTTCCAGGATCCTAACCTAAATATTAAGTCAGAAATACAGACAAGGACTTATATACAAGGATGTTCAGTGAAGCAGCATCCTAATTTTGGCATCTGTTTTTTTAAAAATTGGAAACAACCTAAATATATAATAAGGACATAGGTAAATAATTTGAGCATAGTCATATGTAAGAATGAATGTTGCAATCATTACAAATCATGCTTTCTAGGTATAGTTAATCACATGGCAAAATGCCTATGTTCCACTTTTAAGTGAAATAAAACTACATAGTCACGTGCATATGCAGAGTATAGTCCCAATTTCACTTATTTAACACTTAAATATATGAGTATAGCAAGAGAGACTGGAAAGAAACAGCACACAAAATGTTAATTGTAATATCTTGTAGTGGAATTATAGAACATTCTGTTTGTATTTCTAATTCTTACATTATAAATAATGCATATTAATTTCATAACTAGAAAAATAATGCTCTGAAATAAAATGCATAAAGTTCAAGACCATTGATTTGATAAAATACTTTTCCAGTTTTAATCAACGGGTTCCTACACCATAAAGAATTCTTCAAGTAGATCTTATCACTACCCCTTTATATAAACTTTTCTGAACTGATGTTTAAAGGAGGATGGCATATAATTTTTTTTTAATCGAAGGATTGAACCCAAGGGTGCTTAACACTGAGCCATATCCGCAAGCCCTTTTTATTTTTTATTTTGAGACAGAGTCTCACTAAGTCGCTTAGAATCTCATTAAGTTGCTGAGGCTGGCTTTGAACTTGCGATCCTCCTGCTTCTGCCTCCCAAGCTCCTGGGATTACAGGTATATGCCAACATGCCTGGCTTAAATATTTTCATAAAACACTTAAACAACCTAAGTAATGTGATGAATTTATACTGCATATTAGTAAATATGAAGTTACATATAGGAAGTAAAAAAAATCAAGGCTTTCTGAGTCTTACTCCTGTATTTAATTCACTCATTCTACACTCACCTCAGGGCCTATTATGTTCTATATTTGTGCAAGGCACTGAGGACAAAAAGAAGAGTAAGAAATGGCTTTTCTAGTCATGGAACCTAAGTAACAGATTGAATCGAATAACAGAGAATGACATGTAATAACAGGGTAGTATGAATGGTACTATAAAAAGAGGGGGGTTGCAAGGCACAAGAAAGGGACACAATGGAAAAAGTACCAACTCCACCTGGAGTGACCAAGAGCACTTCATAAAAAACGGTATGAAAGAGCACTCCTGGCAGAAAGGTAGCAGGATATGAAAAAGAACAAGGATCCGAAACATCACAGGATAGACACTGATAAAACCCACAGGTGATCAATATAAAGAATGCAAGGAATGCTTCCCTGGAGTATCGGGGTCACATTAAGGCTTTTGAACTTGATCTTGCAGGCCTGGGAGCCACTAAACAACTTTTCTCAGAATCATCAGGGGTGTTTGGGAAATACAGATTCCTGGGCCTGATATCAGACCTGAATCTATATGTCTAAGAATGTGCCAGAATCTGTACAATGAGTACTCAGATGATCTGATGCAAGGAAGTTTGAAAACTACTATCCAAACCCTTTAATGGAGTAATATGATCAAATTCAATCATATAAAGTCTTCCACCAGCAATGATTACCAAAAAGGAGCTACAGCAGCAACAGGAATATGAAATGGAGGCAACAGAAGCCATCCAGGTGAAAGTATGCAGTAGAGATGAGAATGTAAACTGTGGGATGGAAGGAGATGCTGACCTTTTCTCACAGCACTGTGCTTTATACTGGCTTTTTCAAACATTGGACCTGTAAGCTACTCTTAATGCTTTGTACCTTCCAACACTAATGTCAGTGAACAACACATAAAATTATGTATAATAAGTGTATCATATCTAATATAACATCAGTGATATGAAAAATTATTGTTAATAATGATAGCTACTACATACTAAACCATTGCTACAGCCCAGGCACCACGCTAGATATGATGGTAGCTTATGTCACTGCAAAAGGTAAAATACTACCTTATAACACTGCTAAGTAGACAGACCTGACATGAGGTAGGAACAACTAGATGAAACAAGGAGAACTCCACAGTGCTTTAAGAGATATTGTTTTCCCAGTAAAGATCTGCAAAATTCTTTTAGCAAAGAGATAGGGATGATGTGGCACAAAGAATGCAAGAGCAAACATGTTTGGTAAAGAAATTAGTGAAGCAGCAAGAGCAGCTTAAAGTAAAAAGAAGGCAAGAGTGAGGACACAAGGTAGACCTCAAACTCTCTCATGAGATGTCAGCCACACATGTGCCCCTTTCGGCACCCCCAGATTTTCCCATTTCTGTCTTTCTGGAGGTACTCCAGCAGATAGTCATGTGCTTGGACTACTAGAAGGTTATCTAACATCTGGTACCATGACATCTTCATGTGATTGTGTGAGAGTCCTCTTATCATTCTCAGAGCTACTGATTGTGTCATTGTGCAAACCCTGTACTTACCAGTAACTCACAGAAAGAGTAAGGAAAAGAAAAATGCCACCAAAATGAAACAGCTGAAAGTAGGGAAAAACCAAAGTAAAACAGGAGAAAAAAGTAGATGAGCTGTAATCTCTGACATCACCAAGTCCTGCAGAGCCTGTGTTACCTGACAAGTGGCTTCTCTAATGTAAAAATCTTACTACAACAAAATACACATGCCCAGCAAAGTTATCCACTGACCCATCTTATTTTCTAACTAGCAATGTAAAGTTTAGTTACAGGTAAATGAAAAAAGTATCTATCAAATGCCAAGGGTCTCACCTTAATTATAGATATAGCACTAAGACAAATTCCTTCAAATCACTGTATATTCTTAATAATTTCAAATACAGGCTATCCGATCCAGGAAATATTTAACAGGAATGTTTGCTCTGTCACCTTTATTAAGAACCTCTGAAATGTGTGCTCTCAAATTCATCTTTAATTTATCATAGAAGAAAGATTAAATTCAATTCTACAAATATTTGTGGAGTGCCTATTATCTCCCAGATGCTTGGGAGAAAATAAAGCCTTTTACATTAATGAAATAGTTTCAAAACTTACTTAAAAAGATCCAACAAGGAATCATAAGGTATAAGGTTCACACAAATGAAAAGCTCTCAAAATACTAGTAAAACTCAATGATAAATGCAAAATACACACATA